TTGTGAAAGTCGTCACCCAGGACTCTCAGAGCAGTCGTCCCAACTTTGACTGTTCGCTCAGGACGTGAATCGTCTAAGATCAGGTCTGTATGCTCACCAGCCGGCTGAGGGCGGAATTCATTCGACCGCTCCTCTGCCAATGATTGCTATTTTCTGTCTTTTCTTGCGGCCCCTGTCTGGGATTCCTTTCTCTTCTTGGCGCCTGCTTCTTGAACAGGCGCACTCTCCCTGACATTGTCAAGGTCTATTTTTCCACCACTCGACCCAGTGGCCATAACAGTGGGCTTGACATCCGAGAGATAGCACTCTCGGGCCATCCTTTGATCTCCCCTTAGGGACCCGACTGTTCCATTATCCCTCTCAAACTTGAGCAACATAAGAGATGGGATTATAACAGCCTTGGAATTATTCAGGGTTGGTCGTCCCAGAATCATGTTGTAGGCCGAGAGTTCTTCTACTACCAGGAACCGGACTACCATGTGTCGTCCTTCCCCTTTTTCGCCCAGGCGGATGGATAAATCCACTCGTCCCACTGGGTGGACGACTCCTCCTCCAAACCCTAGTAAAGGGTGGGATGCCGGATGTATGCAATCAGTCTGATATTTTAGTTTCGACAGACATTTGCTACTGATGAGATCTGAGGAGCTTCCGGTATCTATGAGGATTCGGCCAACTCTCTGGTTGGCCACTTTACATTCAATAACGATAGGGTCGTCATGCGGCCCTCTTACCCCTCCTAGATCTTCTTCAGTGATGACAATCTCAGGAAATGAATATTTGGAGGGCCGTTCTTGGTGAACGGAATTTACATCTAACCGTCTGATATTGTGTTTGTTGCCCCTAATAGTGGGGCCGCCTCCTGAGAAGCCGCCTGCAATGGTGTAGACGACTGCATCATCTGTATCGGAGTTGTCGGCCTGTTGATTCTTTTTGGTCGACTGCTTTTTTGAGGAAGTGTTCCCCGTAGATTTCTTGACATAAGTGTCAAGATCACCTTGCTCAGCCAGGCGGTCCAGATACCGCATGAGACTGATGCATTCATTGGTGTGATGACCAACATCTTCATGATAAGCACATAATTTTTCTTGGTTCCGGTTGTTTGCAGAACCCTTCATGGGGACCGGCTTCTCAATTGAGATCCGTCCCTTGATTTCCTTTAGGATAAACTGGCTATCCTTGTTAAACGCATACTTTGGGGAGTATGGTTTGAATTCTTTTTTCTTTTTCTGGGCCGGCTGTTTAGAGGAATCAGCCGCCCAGACCCCTTTTCTCTTCTCGTCTTTGTTTGACGACTGTTTCTGTCGTCCTTCTCTTTTGTCGGACCTTTTCCCGTCTGACTGTTTTACCGTACTACAAAGATCAGTCGCCTGTATATAGGCTTCCGCTTCAATCAAGGCCTCTTGAAGAGTCGCCACCCTCTTTCGGACCAAATCGAATTTGAAGGTCGACCCGTCTTTGAGACCTCTGAAAAAGTCAGTATAGGCTACTTCATCCGGTAACCCTTGAATCTGTATTCTCATCAGGTTAAACAGCCTGATGTAAGAACGAAGCCCCTCCTTCTCGCCCTGCTGAATTGTTCCTAAATCAAGGGTCGTCTTCTTCGCAGGGATGTTCATGGCGAAGTTGGAGGTGAATAAGTAAGCAAGCGTCTTGAAGTTATTTACACAACCAGACGGCAGGTTGCCGAACCATTGTTGTGCGATTCCTTTGAGAGTCGCTGGGAAACACTTTCACCAAGTGGGATCATCCAACCCTTGAAGGTACATCAAGTTGGTGAATGCCATCAGATGGTCTTCTGGGTTAGTAGTGCCGTCATAGGCGCCTACTAATACAATTTTCACTTTGGCCGGCTGAGCGGCTTCAGTAATTTCCTTGGAGAAGGCCGACGGCTGTTCACCAAGTCTAAGCAACCGTAGCTGCCAGTCCATAGGTTGGACATTTTTTGCTGTATGTCCACCAAACGGAGGTGGCTGTAAAAAATACTGTTGTTGCGGTACAAACGGTAAGTTTGGTACCGCCTGGTCGCTATGAAAGCCGGATTGACGGGAGGTGCCGCCTGACTGACTCTCATGATACGACTGAGTATGCCTCATCGAGGTATTTCGCAGACTGTCTTGGAAGTTTGAAGTAGAGGCCGACTCTGACAATCGGTCACTCTTCTTCTGCTCTAGCAGTAGCCGAGCGTCTGTGTATGTTTTCCTCGACCCGTCCGCCTGAATATGACGAATAGGTTTCCTATTTCCTGGAGTAGGGAAACGGTATTTTGTGAAATCAAGGGCAGGTGGCTCCCACTTCCTAAATTTAGGATGAGGGGTCGCTTCTCGCCCTTGAACTGGTTTCCTCTTCAGTGAAGTGGAGGGTTTCTTAGCCGACTGCTCCTTGTCCAGAGCAGTCGGCTTCTTGTTGATCAACTCTTGAATTTCTCCCTTGAAGTCCCTCATGAAAGTCATGACTTCGTTCCTTGTGATGGGAGCAGACCCATCAGTCGGCTGCTGCCGAACAGGCGGTGCGCCTGCTGGCTCGCTTCCTGTTTGAAGATGTTCCCGTTCCCTCCTTTCGGTATGACGGGTACGTCGGGCCCTTAGGGTCCCGTCTGAAGCTGTGTGAGCTTTAACTTCAAATTCATTCTCAGTATCGTGGTCCGACTGAACTAAAGGGTCGTCCAGGGGACGTCTCTCTTCAGGAGCCGGTACAAACGTGGATGCCATCTCAGAAGTACTCTCCCCACAGACGGCGCCAATATGTTTCGGGGTTTTCTGATGTCCTGCGGGAGAGTTACAATTCCGAGACTGGAACCGGACGCCTGTACCTGCAAAACAAACGGATGCTCCGGATGATTGGAGATCCGCCTCCGACGGTCAAGTTAGTACTTGATTAAGGAGTAATTAATGCGGAAATTAAAGTGATTGGGTCTCTCTAGGTGAGAGTGTTTAATGTGTGTAATCTGCGTTTTAGCGTGTAATCCCTCTTAATGAGGATTAAGGGAGGTATTTATAACCTCTGGAAACGTGTCAATCTAGGTTTAAGTTAACCTTGGGCTGATTGGGCTTCCCTCGGGAGTTGGGCCTAGGTGACCGGTTATCCCAGGTGTCATGGGAAGGACACGTGTCGTGTCGTAATTGGTCCATGGTGGACGGATTATTGCTTGACACGTGGCAGGCTCCTATTGGCCCATGTGACGGACACATGGCGGAACCTGATTGGTCCACTTGTCAGATGGTGATTGGTGGGGAAAAATCCCCTAATCACTATTTTCCCTCAATTTGTCTGCAATGCCTGTCACACCAACTTTCTCGCGAATAACCTCATTTCTAAATCTATCTCTTAGAGTCCATCTAAACATGCGCATTTCCGTAACCTTCATCTTTTTAATATGCTCCTTCTTAGAAACCCAACATTATGTACCATAGAGCAACACTGGTCTTATGGCAGTCTTGTAGAATTTCCCTTTCAGCTGTACGGGAATGCTTCGGTCACATAACACTCCATTTAAGCCTTCTGACTCAACCTTGTGGGCCACATCATGATCAATGTCACCATTTTCTTGGATGATCAACCCTAGATATTTAAAACATTGACTCATGGTAAAGTTCGTTCCATCCGAGCTCACTACATCATCGTTTGTCCTACTCTGTATACCAAAGCGACGTACCAAATATTCAATATTACTCTGACTTAGCTTAAACCCTCTAGATTCCAACCTTTGTCAATTTGCCTCCATTGCTCCAATTTAGCATTAACCTCATCTTTAGTTTCATCCACCAAAATGTTATAATCCGCAAATCACATACACCATGGAAGCTCATTTTTAATTAACCTGATTACTTCATCTAGAACTATTGCAAAAAGAAAAAGGGTTTAATGCAGACCCTTGATGCAATCCAATTATAATAGGAAAATCTTTTGTCAACCCTACACATGTTCTCACATTTGTTGACACATCCCAATACATATCCTTAACTATGTCTATGTATATTTATGGGATACCCTTCTTTACGTTGCCCACCAAAGTACCTCTCTTGGCACCTTGTCATATGCCTTCTCTAAATCAATAAAAATCCTTTGGAGATCCATTTTCTTTACCCTATAAAACTCCATCATTTGTCTTATCAAATAGATTGCTTGCATAGTAGATCTCCCGGGCATAAAACCAAATTAGTTATCCGATATGTTTGTGCATGCCCTCAACCTATGTTCAATCATTCTTTTTCCCATAACTTCATAGTGTGGCTCATTAGCTTGATCCCTCGATAGTTAGAACAATCTTGAGCGTCTCCTTTATTTTTATAGATCGGGACCACGGTGCTCTCCTCCAATCTTGCAGGATCCTTGTAGCCCTCCACATCTGGTAAAGAAGTATGTTAACCAATCAATACCAATCTTACCTAAACACCTCCACACCTCTATCTATCGGTTTACCATCAGGGCTAACCGCCTTCTTAGGTTTCATCTTGTTCAGTAAAATCTCCACCTCTACTCTCCTTATCCTCTGCACATACTCCACGTTGATTTCTTCATCACTCACATAGGTAGCTCCTGTCACAACTCCTTAGTTTCCATTAAATAGACCTGGTTCACATTTATTAACTGTGGACCAATAATTTTATTAATAGAAAAAAGTTCACTATGTTAAAATAAAAGTTCTTATGTTAAACTAAACGTCATTGTATTATTATAAAGGTTATACGAGTTAATATTTATTTAATGAAAATTTTAACATACTAGTAATGTGCATAATGAAGATCACTATATTAAAATTTGGATCACTGTGTTCAACATAACACCTGTAATTCGGATTCACAATAATATTATAGGTCACACGTGTTTTAATAAAAGTTACCATGTTAAGATTAAGGATTTTAAGGTTATTGTGTTAAAACTAGGGTCACTATATTCAAATAAAGTCAGTTGTGTGCGTATGAATCTATTATGAACCTGGTCCACGCAACTTTTTTTTCCTAATATTGAATATTAAATGTTATTTGTTGTATTGGATATAGGGAGGGAGCAAACGTAAAGGGCTATGTGGTGTGGTCATTGATGGATAACATGGAAGTGGGAAGAGGTTATGATGTTCGCTTTGGTCTCAACTTTGTTGATTATTTTGATGATTGCAAGAGATATCCTAAGTTATCTGCTATATGGTTTGCTTGGTTTCTTCAATCGCATATAAATTGAAACTAATAGTTCCCTGGTTGAGAAAGTAGCCAAAATCCTACTGCTGTGATTTAATTATTTTCAGTACGAATTTATGAAAATGTTCTTTTTAGTCAAAAAAAATAAAAATAAATGTGCGAGTCATAATAATACAAATATTGCTCAATGTTTTTTTTTTCTAACCAGTGCAACCCGTGTGCACTTGTTATTGTTATTTTATTTTCATTTGATTAATGTAATAAAAAAAAGATCAATCTGTTTATGCCTGACATTTGTTAAGTTAAAGGTATTAATTTGTTTCACCTTTCTTTTTTTTGTTTTTCCCTGACAAAGGATTAATTAAATAGATGGAAAGAGTTTAAGTTGATGCAATAAGAAATAGATGGAAAGAGTTTAAGTTGATGCAATAAGAAATATTAGGTCTTGTTAAAGAACCAACTCGATCAAAAGATTAACCTAATGGTTGATAAGCATGGGTCCTCCTCATACTTAGTGTGAAATATTCAACTTGAAAGTGGGGGTGGAGAAAATTTAAACCTGTAATCCTTTGTACCACACTAACTTTGATACTCTATTAGAGAACCAACTAAACCAAAAACTTAAACTAATGACTGAGACCCAAGAATATATTTTATACTCTATCAGTCTATCAGGCCTATTAAGACCTTTACAAGAACAAAACTATGAACAACACTTGCTCTTATAAATACAGCAATACAAGCCGACATAAATAGAAAACTATTTTTGTTTACTCATAATTGTTGGAGCCACTTTGTAGGTAGCATCGCCTTGATTCTAGCAAACCGAAACCTACAATACATGTTCTTCTCAATGTCCTTTTTCTAGCAAAGGTGAATGTTAAATTAATCACAAATTCTCCAAAATATTCGGTCTATTCTTATTCAATTTCATGATCCCAATCAATAACATAATATTAAAACAGATACCAGGAATGACACATGTTATAGGTGTCGTTTTTTCTCTCCAAAAACTATTTCCAAAAATAAATATATTCTAACTTTATTTTTTTATATCTGTTTGATTGACAACTTATTTAAGACAATAAAATTATATATATATTTAATTTATATATATAATAATAGAAATTAAAGATTCTTATTACTATTATAAATATTATTTGCTTAAAATGATTTTTTTTTCCTAATATGTTACAATCAAATGACCTTGGATTTAATTTATATGGAGTAGTACTAAAAAAAACATCGTTACGTTATATTACATCAAATTGACTTTAACACATTAATCTATATATAATTACAACTATATATTACTACCTCCAATACTTTTTAGATGCAACAAAGGGGTATTTTTAGTGAGATATAAAAATTTTCTTTGTTGCAACTAAAAAGTAACGGAGGTAATACTAAACCAAGAATGACATATGTTATCTCCTTTTTAAAAAATTTCCACCATTTTTTTTGCCAAAGTTTCTTAGAGAATATTTAACAATATGCAATAATATTTCATTCTTATTTTGTAATTCTATCCCGTTTATACACATTCAACAAAAATATTATTCTTTTGTTTAATACTATGCAATAATATTTTCCTACATACGAAGTATAACTTTATCACTTTGTGACACAATCTATGATTGTGTTTTATTAGTCGTGCATGTATTACTCCCACTATTTTCTTTAGTATGATATAATTTTATTTTTCTTTTTGTAATTACGAATTTTTCATCTTATTTGCAATTAGATAATTATTATAATTAAATATAGTGTTAAACTAATAAATAGTGAAAATTATCGTGCATGGCACGAAATCTAACCTAGTTACATGTATGTATAACACTAGGGTTGACAATACCCTAATATTCCACAATTCTACCATATCTTTACATAAGATATTTACTCTAAATATTATCCTAGCATATCACAATAATATTCTAAAATATCTCTAATACCACCACCCCTCAAGTTGGAACATACGGGTCACAAATGCCCAACTTGCGGAGTAAAAAATCAAACTTAACTTTTCCCAAAGCCTTGGAGAAAATATCAGCCAGAACCGTGGTAGACAGATAGGAAGGTTTGATGGTGCCTGCTGTAATCGCATCTCTCACAAAATGACAATCAGCTTCCATATGCTTCGTTCGTTCATAGAAAACATGATTCTGAGCAATATACAACGCTGACTGACTGTCACAATATAGATACATGTTACTCTCATGTCGCACACCTAAGTCCCCTAGAAGGGGCTTTAGCCACTTCAATTCACAAGTCAATGCTGCCATCGAACGATATTCCACTTCTGCAGAAGAACGCCAAACAGTATGTTGCTTCTTGGTTTTCCATGACACTAGGGACAAACCAAGAAGCACAAACCAACCACTCAAAGAATGTCTCGAAAGAGGGCAACTTACCCAATCGGAGTCGCACCAACCTTCCAACTGTAAACCACTATCTGATCTCAATAGAATCCCCTGACCTGGACTCTTCTTCAAATATCGCACAACCCTCAACGCAGCCTCCCAATACTCAATTCTCGGAGTCTGCATAAATTGTGATAGACTGTGCACAGAATATGCCAAATCTGGCCTAGTGACCGACAAATAAATCAACCGTCCTATGAGACGTCGACATCCCTCCACTTCTTGCAAAAATTCCTCATCTGCTAGAGCTAGCCTGTGGTTTTGCTCCATGAGAAAATTTGTGGATTTTGCATCTAGCAAGCCTGTTTATACAATAATAAATTATTTTAGACCTTTTAAAAAAAAAAAAAAAAAAACCTTCCACAAGACAAAACAAAAAAGAGCATCAGGAAGCACAACATCCACAAGAACAGGTTGTAACACGTACTCGTAAGAAAGGGCGTCGAACGTGGTACGATATGGTGGTTGCTGGGTCACCGGAATCACTTGGTGCGGTTGTTGGAGTCGCGCGATCTGGTGGTCGCGGTCTCTAGAGCGCGCACGGTGGCTACAGTTCGTTGGAATTGCGTGCCAAAACGGTGGATAACCGCAACTATACCTCATCGGTGTCTTCGTGGTGGTCGCCGGTGACTTGGTGAGGACTTGAGGGAGATTAAGTGAGAGAAGGTCCAAAGGAGACCATCAGAGAGAGAAAGAGGCGCAGGTTGAAAGTGAGAATTAGGGTTGAACTTGAAAGTTAAGGCTAGTACATATATTTTATAGGGAAAAAAAAAAAACATCTTCACCGGTTTTCAGGTTCAGACCTAAAACTCCTGGTTTTGGACCGGATCAAAACCCGAAATCACTGATTTTTTAAGGACCGGAACCGGACCTGAATCTACCGATCTGGGTCCAAACAGGTCCAGATCAAGTCGGGTTTCAAGTTCGGGTCAGTTTGTGTACACCCATATGGGCAACCGTATTACCAGCCTATCAAACATTTTTCTTTTAAACAAACCCGCCTATCAAAGATGAGTACAATTAAAGACAATAAAATCATAACTTATTCTAGAATATCATCCAATAACATGAAAATAGATGCAACTCCAAACTGATTTTTACTAATTGCTATGACCATGCTACTTGCGTCACTTTCAAGAACTATCAGAGATCAAACTCTTTCCCAAATCCACTCACAACTTTATGAGCGATAGTATTATATTTTTTTATTTTACAAGTATGATTGTCAAGTGATTATTAATCCATGCGTAAAAAATTCGAATAACAAAAATATTTTTCTCATATATAGTGTATATTTTTGTAATATATATATATATATATGCACTTTTACAAAAATCAATGACATTATATGTTAAAATAATTTGACGCATAGATAAAAAGTTTATTTAAAATTCAATGAACAATCCGGGCATTGTCCGGGGTACAAAATTAGTAAAATAATAAGATAAAAAATTAACAATTAATCCTATCTTGACATGAATTAGAATCCTAAATGAAGTGGAAGATTGGTGATGACTTAAACCTAGACGAGATTGACATGAAAAGATAAACAGTTATCCTCCAACACTAGAGATAGGATCCCTAAACTGGACAAACTTTAGTATTTCGATCATAACTTCTGATACGTTACTCCGAATTGGACAAAACCAGCGCCAAATGAAATATAAAATCCGGGGCTACAGATCCATATGTTGTATAACACATAACTCTTTCTAGAACTCCAGCTATGACCAAAACAAGTTGAGGCTTGTGCAGGATATGGAAATAGAAAATTTCGAAGTGACTCAAAAATAAAAAGAGGACTCCCAAGACTCGACTATAATAAATTAGTATATTCACATAATTAAAACACAAACATGTAACGGTTAGTTGGAAAAAACACGTCAAAATGCACAAGTAAGAAAATAGTCACGCCTGATGCAATGAAGTTCCACAATTTAACCAAGGATCTATGTTCATACTGAGGTCGGTCAAATAGAGTGTTCAAAAAGTACCACGGTTAAGAGTTTAGGTGCAAAAGCAAGGCAGCTTACCTTCTGAGGGTGTATGCTTTCGGACTGCTCCGCGAGTTTGTGATGAAATCGAACCCGACTCCATGGCTTGGTGGATTTAACATTAAAGAACGACCCTTATTGCTTTTAGCGTTTTTAGGGACCCCTTATATTAGCCCACAAGTATGTTTGATAAATCCACCTTCAGAGACTCGTTATCAAACCTAACAGATCCGTTAATGTTAAATCCTTATTGCTTTTAACCTTTAACGGGTCTCTTATTTCTTTTAGCAATAACGTTAGCCTACCTTAAGGCTAATATAATGGCCAACATAAGAGACTCTTATAGTAGCCTACCTTAAGAGACCCGTTATCAAACCTAACAGATCTCTTACTTTAGTTTAATTAAAAAAAAAAAAAATAGGTAAGAGACCAGTCATCAAACTATCGGATCCCTTACATTATTTTAATAAAACATTGAGGAAGACAAGAGACCAATGGTCAAGCATAACTGGTCTCTTACCTTAAGGACTCTCACACCGATACCTTTAACTTTTCACCATTATTCTTTTCATATTCCTCTAGAACTCTAATTTTTTAATCTTCATTCTCTCACCTCTCTGAACTTTCTCACTCTAAAATTACTAAGACCAAGTAAAAGAAAATCCCTCTTCTCATCTTTTCTATTTTTATGTTTCCCCAAACGAGATATCATAGCGATTACAATTCGACGACGATGACGCAACAATGGTGGTATGTTCTGTTACTTTATGTTATAACTACTAGCTACATGATGGATTTGTTTACATTAACTTTAGTTTTTGTTTAAGTGATTTTGATCTATAATGTAATCTAAACTTTTAATCTTATTCCATTTATTTAATTTGCATGCGCCTTATTGGGTTTTATATGTTGTTTTTGAAATTATTTGCTTATTATTTTGTTAGATTAAAGTTATTATTCGTCTATGAGTTGATCTAGATTTCTGAAATCTTGTAATTTTAATTGTTATCATTGTTCTTTTCAGGTTGAATAGGGTTGGATGATGAAATTTCTATGTATATTGCAATGTTCTAGTAAAGAAGACAAAGGTCTGTGTTTATCTAATCTATCACCTAGCTTTTTTTTAGCTTAATCTTATTATTCAATCGATGATTTCCCCCCCCCCCTTTTTTTTTCCTAATAAAATGCATTTTTATTTATTTTTGGTGTTTTAATTATTTATTCCGTTAATTTTTATACGTTGTGTGGTTATTATAATTAATTCTTTGGTTTTATATTGCCAGATCTATCTGTGTTTTCAACAAAATCTCAATTGAAGAAGAGCGAATATGAAGCACTCAAGCTATATCAACAAAATCTCAATTGAAGAAGAGCAAATATGAAAGCTATATTATTGATTGTAATTATAATTGTAAATTTCCAATATGTTTATATGTTTCAGTGTTAGCATTTTAAGGGTTTGATTTTGTAAATATAACATCAGTTTAGTTATGAAGGTTTTTTTGGTCTGTAATTCACTACTTTTCCGCCATTGAATAAAGCATGTAGATTCAAATTTTAAATTTTAAATTTTAAATTTCGAAATTGAAATAATAACATAGAGTAGACCATTTAAACATAAAAAAATAAAAAAATAAAAAACAAAAGAGACCAGTTATAAGCCATAGTGGGTCTGTCAGTTTCAACTAAGAAGACCTAATATTTTAAATAACGGTCTCTGTTTCTTAAATATATCTCACATAAAGGACCACCCATCTTTAACAACGGATCTCTTTGTCTTTTATGACAGACATTAGTCTATTTATTGAACAGACCCCTGAGATAGAGACATGTTAAGAGGCGGTCTCTCAAGCACATTTGGACGGGTCTCTTTGACGATTTTTGTAGTAGTAAATCCCCATGGCTAACCACATAGAACACGCACTAGTGTGGCAAAAAAAGGTAACCTATAATCGACATATTTCGAGGACCATGAACAATTCCATGATACCCCCTAATACGGATAGATGCATATGAGACAATGTCAACTAAATTGCAAAAAATACACATAAAGAATCTTTTGAATCTCATCCACTCATCACAATTAACTACCTATTACTCAAATCAATAAGTAATCAAGAATCCTCCCCATTGGAGTCACCAAATTGTAGGCGTCGCTCAAAATGCGCCTACGTGGAGTATGTTGTGAATATTCTTGGCAATCATAGGAAGTTGGATTTGACATAACGATAGGGAAAAAAAGTAGGGAGTCGCCAACATTTTTGTAAGGAACTTGTAAACCATTCATGCATGGATCATTAAAGGCAATCATGAAAAGGGACAAACTGAAGGCAACAACGATTTGATCCATGAAGGTTACACCCCATTCATAATCCATGAGAAAACTAACTCCAAAGTGGTCCTGAACCATAACTGGATATTCGGGGATGATGGTACGGATTGAATCATGAACCCAATGCCGTTCATATTGGCCTCTACTTGATTCTTATAGTGACATGTATTATTTGCAACCTAAAAGACATACAAATAAGATTCAATTCGCTCCAAACTAATTAATTTAATTCGGCTGTATATTTAATACACACATATAAATCTAATTATTGTGATCACTTGAATTAAGCAACATGATTAATAGGAACCTAAACCAGTTACCCAAATTATCTTATTGGCGTGATTTCAATTACATATTTCAAATTAAACATGCAATATAGGTGATCAAAGCAAATAAGTAGAATAAATCAAAATAATCAAATAGATTAAATAAGCATGCATAAAAATATTGGAAGCAACTAGATCATAATTAGAGAACGAATTAAAAGCATCCTTGACATGATACTAAATAATTATTAATAATATCCTAGGCATGATACTAACAAGATTAATATAAAACCTAAACATGATACTAATAATTAAAAATAACGATCCCTAAATATATACTAGTAAATAATTAGAGTAAATAATACCAAAATAATATCATGAATAATTTGTTAGTAACTTCAATAAAAATAATAAATCAAAAGAATTAAATTAAAAAGTTAGAAAAATTGATATCACCTTCGAGATTATACCTTCACGCCTTGGTCAAAAGGGTAGAACCTTCAAATCTTGTTTTGGATTTTGAATTTCTTGAATAAGATTAGAAATAATGGGTGATATTTATAGGCTTAAAATCGGGTGAAAATAGAATTTGAAAAGAAGATAGAATTTCGAAAACGCGTAGCACATGTCAGCATTTTTGGGGATTTTGTTTTTATCATAACTTTCGATCCGTAACTCGAAATAAGATAAATAATATGTTGTTGGAAAGCTCTGGAGGTTTTCAACCTACTTAGAATAATTTTGATATATTTTGTATAATTTCAGATATGATTGAAATAGTTGAACGGTGTCGGTTTTGGATAGAGTTTAGTGATCCTATCTTTCTCATTTCAAATCGGAATTGGGCTTATGATATATCATTGGAAAGCTTATACAAGGTCTGATCCATCCAACCATGTAAAATTTGGATAAAAATTATGAGGCATGAAAATTATATTTGCTCGGTTTTGGGCTATAACTATGAAAAGAAAAATTAGGTTAAGGTCTATGGATTTTAGGCTAAAAAAAGGGTTTGGTTAATAAAATGGATAAAATAGCGAGGAAATAATAGTTGCCTAGAACAAAAGAACTATTCAAGTAATTTTTAAATCTATAACGCGAACCGGACCAAAGTAAGCAATGAAGGTTGTTTCGTCATCGGGCTTTGGTTAGGGAGACATTTTTAGGTGTCTACACTCACCAAACCACAACAGCCCCACCCCTAGCCCCCTTACCCGGTAGCCCCACCCTGATCCAGATGCCCTGCAAAAGCCTCCCAATCCTAGAAACCCAACCAGCAACCCGAAAACCCAACAACCCCAAAAACCTTTCGAGCCACCAAATCCTCACCCACGCCGGCCCAAACCCTAACAAGCTAAACCTCAAACCCACCACTAGATCCCCACCCATCTCAACCCATCCCGGCCCAAACCCTAACCGATCTAAACCAATCCCATGACACCGCAACCCAAAAAAATAAAAAACAAGAAAAAAAATTAAAAACACAAACTTAATAACCGAAATTACCATTGAACTTCATATTGAATTTGGTTTAATAAGGCCAAATTCGACCATGAAAAGTCTAGACTCAGATTTTTCATGTTTGAATTTCACCTTAAAAACCATTACTTTCTAATTAACACGAGTACCATTTTAGAAACCGACAACAAACCGACCTCCAACCGCACTCGCCATCAACACCACTAACATTTTGTTTTTATATAGTGATTTACCCCCATCCCTTGTTCATATTTAGGAGTATTTTTGGCTCTACAGAGCTATTTTTATTACTAATATACGTTTTCTAGTATTTTTGTAGCTTTGGTATTATTTTGTAGGAAATTGCAGATTTGGAGCATTTCCCGAACTTATTTGAGCCACTATGAGCATTTGAAATGGAGCGCACTCACATGACCATTTTCCGTAGCCCAAGACCGTGTTAAAGTAATCAAACCGGTGATTAAGGGCTCGACGAAGAAGAAGAAACCGCGACATTGGACTTGTTTCATAGAGATTCAAGGAAATATTCGGATTGGGCCGAGTGAAGAAGCCCAAACGAGGAGTTAAGTTCGCCCAGTTGAATCACCCGACAGGGCTAGCAAAGAAGTCGCTCGCCCTGAGGCGCGCTCGGCCGGGCGAGGGAGAAAGGGGATATTTTCCAAAGGCGAGCCCTGCCGGGCGCGGGTTTTTGATAGCAATTAGGAGCTTTAATCGTCGTTTTTAGCATATGATTTTCTTGCTTTAATATAAATACGCTTTTGTTAAGCGAGGAAATTACATCTTCCATCAGTTAAAAATTCCATATTTTTAGATTTTAAGTTTTCTTAGTATTTTATTCTCTCAACACTCTTTTGGTTTATGCAATTCATTATTTTTGTTTACTTTGGTAACAGTTTTATTCGCTTTTAATTCTAGTATTTTTATTGCTTTGATTAATAATGGCTTGTTTAATTGCTTTGCTTAGTTTAGATTTAATTATGTCTGAGTAGTTTAATTCTAGGGCTCTGGGGATCCGTAAGTAATATGAAGGGATGATTTATTATTGTTGATTGTTATTGTTGTGAATTAATTTTCTATTGATTGTTTTAATGTTATGCAATTAGCTTAGGCCTAGTTTAATTATATGAGTTGTGCAATATTGATTCAAGATTCGACAGATGAGAATTGATGTTTAGGCTTAGTTTCAATAGGTACGTTAATTTATAAATGGTTAAGTCAAGATTCAAGAGATGCGATATAATACCACTAGATTAATTTTGTGATTGTAGTACGTAGCGAAAGCCCTTTATGATCTGATTAGTTCATGCATTGATAATTGATTGTTGTCTTTTATCCGAGAGTATTATTTATTGGTGAACCTACGCTTTAGGCTTTAGTTTATTGATATTCTTATTATTTTAATTGCTTTAGTTTAATTATTTATTTTAGTATAGTTCATATAAAATCACAGTTGGCTACTTGATGATTTAGATTATTTTAATTAATTAGGAGTAAAAGAACATTGTTTCCCTGTGCATTCGACCCTACTTCCCTATCTGCTTTAGTTAGAGGATTTAGAAATTTCTTTTGATTAGGTAATAGTGTTTTTTCTACTAGTGGGGAAAGGAGTTTTTTTGGTCATGCAGGGTTTTATCGTGGCTTCATCATAGATTTTTCTTAAATTTCTAAACCACTAACTCAGCTTTTACTCAAGGATGCCCCATTTGGTTTTACTGACGAGTCTCTTAAGGCTTTTAACAGGATTAAGCAGGCTTTGATATCGACACTTATCATATGTGCTCCCGATTGGGATCTCCCTTTTGAGATTATGTGTGACGCCGGTGTTTTTGCAGTAGGAGCCGTGCTAGGACAAAGAAAGAACAAAGTTTTTCATGCTATTTATTATGCAAGTAAACCTTTGGATGAAGCTCAAGTTAACTATGCTACCACAGAGAAGGAGTTTCTTGTTGTGGTCTATGCTTTAGAAAAATTTAGATCATATCTCGTTGGTTCTAAAATTATTGTTTGAAGTTGTAGAGCAACACCCTTGGTATGCCGATTATGCTAATTATTTGGTAGGTAGCACCCTACCTTCTGATATGTCCTACCAACAGAAAAAGAGGTTTCTTAATGATGTGAAACATTATTTTTGCGATGACCTTTTTTTGTTTCATAAGTGTGCAGATGTACTTTTTCGCAAGTGTGTTCCCGAATAGGAAGTTCACGGTGTTCTAACTAGATGCCACAACTCACCCTATGGTGGACATCATGGCCCCACAAATACTGTAGCTAAGATCAATGAGTCGGGTTTCTATTTGTTGGGTTTTGTAGAGTCCGACTCTACGCGGAAGAGAAACCCGCCCAAGACCCGCTCACTAATTAAAGCAACTAAATAATTAATCACATAATTAACAACATAAAAGAGAGAAAGAGAAAGACGCTCTTACCCTTGACACGTGCTTCGCTCAAACCCGAGCTCTTACTTCAAAAAATAAACCTCGCAAGCGCGACAGTCTCCAACAGCTCGTACCCACGAACTCGACCCGAACGGTCTTAGTCTTGAAGGTTAGTCGGGAGTTGACCAAATAAAACTTAGAGTATTACGAACTTAAGGTTTTCTCACTTTACTAAGGAGATGCCTTTTTAGTTCCACTCAAGTGTTCTTTCCAAAACCCAAAACTTGGGTATTTATAGGGAAATAAACCTTAATTTCCCATTCTCAATCATTGTGGGAGATTTACAATTTCCTCTATTTTATTTTAATCAAAACAAATTAAAATTGCAATTCAACAAGCTACAAGTGGCAATGAGAGAAGAGGGAGAAGGTGAGGACCACCAAGGGAGGGGACCAACCCACCTTGTTCCCCAAGCCAGAACACCAACCATTGGTCCCCACCTTGACCGGCTGGCAGCTTGCCTTTGC